TCAGTATTCCTTGTCAGTTTTGTGCCATTTTGTTGCACTCGCTGACTGTATAAGATCTGGTTACGTTGGTGGACAGTTAGTTATAACTCGTAACATGTTGTCCTTCTCCTTTTCACCATAATTTAATTGGCTCACCATCCGAGTTGAACTTCTCAGTAGTATTTATTTTTTTACTAGGGAAATCCCCACAGCCAGATTGTAAGTCCTTTTACTAGGGTACCCCAGGTAAGTGAGTGAAATAGAGTAAAGAAAAACGGTGGCTGCATACTGTGCCATTATGTATTGCAACAGAGGCTACCTAGAATACTGTTGAACATTGCAAAGGAGGCTGCCTGGCGGCATGCTGCTGGAAGCGAAATCCAACTGGCAGCAGCCAGGTAGGGCAAAGCATAGAAACCATACCGGACGAAGCATTAGGCAAGGCTAAAGCGAGCGTTTGGACTGTCCCCTGGTCAAGGCATCCGTACAGTTGCAACTTTATCTAACCACAAAAGCTCGACGAGTAGAGGGCTGCGGCGGCCATGCAAACATTAACATAGATAAGGCAAAACGTGTTTAGAGTATACCGGCTGGCGACAGGAATGATTTTGTGGCGCTGACAAATGGTGGATGTTGGGTGGCATGGCGGTTAGACAAATGTTATCCTCAGGCTACGCTTTAAGCATCGAATGAGTTTGTTGTATAGGGTTGCTGATATAATGTGAACGTAGCAGTTGCTAGCATATTCCATGTGGGATTGGATCATGCTCAGGCAAAAGGAACGTTGTGCCCGGGGAGTAATGTGGTGTTGTATTCTGATGACTGCGGCCAGCCTACGGTTGAGATCAGCAACAACTGTCCAGACCTGCTCTTTGAAGGCGAGGTGTGGTCGACTAGCACTCCGAGGTAACGGGTACACTGGGAAGGGGACAGTGGAAAGTTACCACAGAGGACGGTGAAGGTAAAACTGGGGTTGTCTTCCGGTGGACGATCGATAATTGAGTCTTGTCGGGGATCAGCAGGAGGCCCAGTTCCGTGAGGTGTGATTGAACCACATCGACGTTCTCTGATAGTCGGTTCGGTGTCGTGTTGATGCAGCTGCTCGATGTGTAGATTCCTATATCGTCTGCTTTAGAGTATGTTAGATGTGTGAGTTGGTGTGACGTCTGTAACGTGTATTGTGTAGATCGTGAAAGGAACGGAGCCCAGGAAAGAGCCTTGAGAGACCCCGACTACCGTTCACGGAGTCTGCTGAAGCTTTAGTTGAGTGCTTCGTCACTGTGTGTCGACGAGCGCTTAGATAGGAAGCGAACCAAGATAGTGCTGTGCCACAAATACCGCAGGAGTAGAGCTTTTTGATCAGTGGCTGGTGCTTGACCCGGTCGAAAGCCTTAGCTGATGTCCAAGACTAACACTCCGGTGTACTGACCGTCATCCAAACGTTGTGGCCACTTTGATATCACCAGTGAAAGTGCATCCTCTGTGGAGTAATCGGAGTGGTCTACGAACTGTTGGGAAGAACGAATGTTGAGCTGTGGATGGGTGTTGTAATAGCGCTCAAGTTGATGAAGGACGACCTTTTCTAGAAGCTTAGGTACGATGGCGAGTAGAGATAGAAACTTCGGCTTTGAGAGGTGTCCGAATGGTGTTCCGACCAAGGAATTTGTTTAGCAGTTTCCATTGGCGGCCAGGATCATTTCGACAGTCTGAAAACTCCCTAACGAAATATTGGTTCTTTAGGTGCTTGTTAAGCAGCGTGCCTTCTCTTCTTGCTGCTCGGTACTGGTCCAATAGCTGGGTGTCTGTCTGGTTTCTCATAACAGCGTGGTGAAGATATTTGCGACGGGTGAAGAGATATGCGAGCGCTGATATTCACCACGGGTATGTTTTAGGTTTCCGGGTTTACTGGCTGCGGCTAAGCCGTAGTGGACACAGCGTGTTCACTTCCAAGGTACGGAGGACTCCCCGACCAAGGGTCTCGGGATCGGCGTACCCAGCAAGCACCATCGTGGGGCGGGGGGGGGGGGGCAGAGGCATTTCGGGAAGAGAGAGGGAGAGAAAGAGAGAGAGTGAGAGAGAGGGAGAGAGAGAGAAAGAGAGAGAGAGAGAGAAGGAGAGAGCGAGAGAGAGATGGTGCTTTTCTTGTGCTGCTCATGTGCGGTGATGACATGACGGCATAGCGGGGGACACTTGGCTGCAATCTGAGGCAAACCATGGCCACACATTAGCTCGAACAACGCGTACCTACCCCTACCTAGATACGCGTTTTTGATTAAAGATGTGTTTCTGGGATCGACCCAAAAAGGACATGAGTGAAGCCGATCTGAATTCGGCAAGTGTGTTCAGGATCATGTAGTAATGCAATAGAGGCAACAATGTGCGTGCTAGTATCATGAACAGGGCAACCACAGTTGTATTCCAGAACTTGCCTTGTCAGTCTAGATTGATTCACAGGAAACGTGAGTCTCGAAGACTGAGGAGTAGTAGTAGTAGTTTTTATTATTTTACTAGGGGAGTCCCAACAGGCTACTGCCTTTTTACTGGGAACCCTAGGTGAAGTTTAACCATATTAATGAACAGAGCAAGAGTGTGGGCCTGTCGACAGTCAGCTGGAAGAGAGTTCCACCTGCCTGCCGCCAGAAAATAAATAAAGCGCATGCCATACTGCGTAGAAACGAGTGGGAGAACTAAGGCTCTTTGTGCCTTGCCCCGGGTGCATGCCTGGTGACCAGGTGCAGTTGCCCGAAGCTGGTACAAAGACTGAAGAAGAGGACTAGCAAGATGCTGGGCCAAGCAGCAGTACACAAAAACATAGAGCTTGAGGCTAATACGCTGTTCCAAAGAATAGAGGTGATATAAGCGAAGAACTAGTTCAATGGGCGTTGTACGATCGAGTCCAAACACTCTCTTCATTGCTATGTGACTAACGGTCACAATCCTATTGTACAGAGTTGTGCTTAAACAATGTAGGTAAGCATTACTGGCATAGTCTAGGGTAGACTGAATAATAGACAAATAGAATGTTCGCTTTGCATCATTTGTTAAATTTCTACGGCCATGTCGGAAAGCAGCAACTTTAGCAAAAACCGAGTTACACAATTTATGGACCTGTGGCTGGAAGGTGAGATGCTCGTCTATCAATAAACCAAGGTATTTGGCAGTGCTCGTAGGGATAATAGCCTTTCCTTTACAGGTCAAGGGCTGTGGCAACTGCGCTGCTGGCAGGCGTGACCGCTGCAGGATTAGAAATTGCGTCTTGTGGGGGTTCATGATGAGCCCCTTCAGATCTAAATGGACCTCCAGGGCAGTTAGATCGTCCTGGAGATCCTGTACCATAGCAGGAAGGTCCAGTCCGATGATGAAGAAGGCAATGTCATCAGCATAGAGTTGTGACATGCTGTGCCTGAGAATTTCCGGCACCTTGCGAATATAAATGCAAAAGAGCAGGGGACCCAGGACCGACCCTTGCGGGACGCCCCTGGTACAAGGCACAGTCTCACCATGCTCGCCATTGACTATTACTTGTTGACTTTGGCGTGACAGATAATCTGCAAACCACTGCAATACAGTGCCCCGTAACCCAACATCAGCCAGCTCATAGACTAACTGCTGATGTTGAACGCGGTCAAATGCCTTACGCATGTCTGCAAACACTATTGCGCATCGTTGACCATCGTCCAATGCTCGGTTCCATCTATCAATGCAGAGAGCAAGGGCATCCTCACAGTTGTGGTTGGAGCGATATGCAAACTGTTCCGGTGGAAGGGCAGAAAGCTCATTGTGATCACTAAAGAACTCCACAACCTGTCTATGAACGATTTTCTCCAATACCTTGGAGGCAAGTGGCAACAGAGATATGGGACGGTAGTTTGTAGCCGACAGTTTGTCTCCTGATTTGAATAGAGGACAGACATGTGCGTGCTTGTACGCTGTAGGAAACACACCCGAGAGGAGAGACTGGTTGATAATTGACGCTAGCGGGGCGGCAATGGACGCCTTACATGACTTAAACATGTATGGGGGAATGCCATCCGAACCAGCAGACTTGTAGGAGTTAAGATTGGTCAGTATGTCCATAACTGTCTGTGAGGAAGTATGTAGAACTGTCCCTGCTTGGATGACCATAGCTTAGCGTTGCGGGCCGTTACAGAGGGTCCCTGATTCGAGTCCTGGCGGTGACAGTCAAATGTTATTCTTCAGACTTTTACTGCTTGCAACTCTCCCTCAAACCAATGATAACATTTCGTGATTGTAGGAATTGGTGAAGCAAAAACCGTGTACATGAGAAAACAAGTGGGCTTATTCAACTCTGCAGGCAGGCACAGTGGGTTGGTCTAAGACCATGATTAATGAACGAGAGGTACCAGGTTCAAGTCCTGCTTGGAAGCGGAAGGATTTTTCCAACCGTGCTGCGACCCACAGTTAATTGGGAACTCGTGGCCTGGCACGAGTAAATCATGGATGTGGCAAATGGGATTTAGACCTTTGGCCTATGGTTGGTGGATCTGATCTATCCTCCCCCACCGTTTAGGAGCCGCATCTGGCGCCTGATCATGGGGTGGTGGCGTCCCACGGAAGCGGAAAGGTGGTTCTTGACCAGGGAGTTGTACGACTCCTTGTTCTTGACCTGCCCGGTACGCGAACCCGTCGAATTTCTTTTTATTTATTTTATTTTTTCAACTCTAGGCCTACGTTTGACCCGCGTTGATCTGTCACGCAGTCATTTAAGAGTGCGCATTTACATGGCAAGGTGGGATTATTCGGCTCGCCCCGAGCTGAACCTGCTCCACCCTTGAACACCGAGCTTATCCAATCCCCACGCCATATTTCGTCATTATTTTATATGTAGAAAGGAAAAGGACATATGGATACGAGTTAAGAGCAACTCTCCATCACTGTAACTGGATACTTTAATTATACAGTCAGAAAGTGCAATAACTAGGCACAAAAGTGACAAGAGTACTGGTTCACTTCTCGGCACAGATTACTGACGCGGGTAGAAATGAAGTCCTTCTACTTACAATATAGTGAGGCCTGGAACCTTGGACAATAAATCAGCATCGATTGAGCTCGTTGGTGTATGGTCCAATGAACTGAAACGATATTGAAAAAAAGCCACCAGAAGGCCATAGTACGATTTACATCATGAAGACATTTTCATAGAAGGAGGAGTTGGCAATGTTATAATGCGAAAGATGATTCTGGAACTGTCTATGCAAAATCTGTTTGACTTTGCAATACATGCTCCATGAAAAATAAATAGCGACACAGTTGATCAAGAGTTTATAAGCCCCGAAGAGTGTGCAACTCTGCATATGGGGTCTCCAACGGCGTAAACTCACATCACGTATCTCATGTACGGTTTGTACTACGTACTCACAACTAAGGATAGGGTGCGCGCAATCCAAAAATCGGCCATGATTATGCTGGCGAGTTTCATACGCGCAGTGTGTTTCTGCCAGGGAGTGCATTTATTATAAGTCCTCCGCTCGCTAGAAACGAGCTGGAAACGTACAGCTGGGACACTACACCACGTGATGGGAGTTTTCGCCTTTGGAACACCCGATAGAAAGGGTATCAGGAGTTGCACACTCTTGAGGGCTTATATACTCTTGATTTGAGGATGTAAATTTATAATTTCTCCTGCAATTTTAGTCTGCCTGAAAAACTTCTTCTAACTTACAGAAAAGTCAGAAGAGGGACACTGTCCAGCAGTCCTGCCGGTATCAGAAGTCGCGTGTTGCTGTGCAGCGACCTGAATGAAATCAGAAGAGAAGAGGAAAACAGCTAATAACAGCGATTATAGAAATTTGGTATCTAAACGGTCTAGACAGTCATATATACTATACTTCCTGGTGCATCGTTGTCAGCGCTATGTGCACAGAAAATCTTGAGCACAAACAGTACGAATATCTGAACCAGATACGACTGGAATCTTACTAGCAGTTGGGCTTGGCGGAACTAACAAGTCAGGCTACCCAGAATTAATCCGTTGTTTCGGGTCACACGACCGACCGTCTTTTTTCACCCGACCGCATTTTGTTTATAGTGCATGCAAACGTACATGACTAGACTATGTACACGCTATGCATTTCCCAAATCGGCCCGATTTTTACACCTAACCGGCTTTTCGATTGGCTAAGAAAATATCAATTATCTGTACATGTGTCATACTTACAGAAGTTACAGTATAGACTGCAGTACATGTACTCAGCAGTGTTCGGGTTTATTTGTTCAAGTAAATAGTTGACAGTCCCTGTGTTTTAGGACTGTGTTTTGATATAATTTATCTTTCTTTCCTATTCTGCTGTTCCATGCCTGTTAGCACCTCGTTGAAACCGCTCGTTCCTCATTCTTCATTCCATTTGGCCTAAGCGAAGACTAGCCAAGCTTGCTTGGCGATGTCAACGCGAAAAGGTTATTTATTTATTTATTTATTTATTTCTGCCCCTCGTGGCATGTCAAGACAGCCAATTGAATTGAGGAGAGAGTGAGACCAACCACGGAAGAAGAGAAAAAAAGAAAATGAAGAGCACGTACACAAAGTGGGAAGGGATTAGCAACTTAAAAAGCAATAGGATGCTCAGCGAGCTATGCAGCGGAAGTGGTGACTGTGACTTTGTTTACTGGGAGATACTGAAGTGCTGTCTGACGAGGGTACGGAATTTGGGCATATCTGGGGCTTGTCTAACACTGGGAGGCAGTTGGAGCCACGTGGAGTAGGAGGAAAAAAAGGGGAATTTACGAATAGGGTAGACCTAGCTAGGGGGAGACGAACGCAGCTTCGGGTGGTGCCACCTGAATTGAACCAATTAAGGGACTGTAAATGAGCAGGGTGCTGGTCAAGAAAAAATGAATGTGCCAGGGTGCACTTGGAAGCATCAAGGTAATGTTGCAGAGTGGTAGTGGATGCAGCAGCATACAAGTCTAGATTTGTGATATAACGATCAGTACGAAATATGATGCGCAGTATACGGCGATGGAGAACTTCTAATTTACCTATGTGGGTTTTGTTAATGGTGGACCAGGCAGGGAAGCCGTACGTGAAGAGGGGAAGAATGTTTTGATTTATAAAAATTAATCCGGCAATTTTGGGGCAAATGGGACAAGTGACTTGACATTATGCCGACAGATCGGCATACTTTGGACGACACATGATCAGCATGGTGAGACCAGGAGAGGGCGGAATCTATGACAATGCCAAGGTGTTTATGGTGGGGCGCTACAGAGATAGGGTGACCGGAATCATCGGGGAAGTGGAAGATGGGCACTGGATCTGTGGGAGGGGGAAAAAGGAGGAGCTCGGTTTTGGTCACATTTGGCTTAAGGTACCAAGTGCTCATCCAGTGAACAACGTCGTTGATACAGGTCTGAACTTTGGGGTACAGGGTGGCGTGAGATGGGGAGGAAGCAAGGACAGTGGTATCATCTGCAAACAAGGAAATATTGGGAATTGAATAGGGGAGGTCATTAACGTATGTGAGGAGGAGCAGGGGACCCAAAATGGAGCCCTGGGGCACTCCGGATGTCACAGACTCGGGGTCAGATAAGGTTCCATTTACTGTGACGCACTGATTTCGGTCCAAGAGGTAGCTAGTTATCCAGGCGAGTAGGGAGCCGGAGACACCATGGGCACGAAGTTTGGCGATCAGGCCCTTGTGCCACACGGTGTCGAAGGCCTTGGAGAGGTCGAAGAAACAGATGCAGGAGACCTGCCGCTGGTCTTTTAGGGAGCAGTGGTCTTGGATTATGCGGGAAAATTGCAGGGATGTGTTGTCCTTACGGCGGAAGCCAGATTGTGCGGGGTGGAGAAGAGGGGACATATTGTCGTACAAGCGGTCGTACACTATTCTCTCTAGCAGCTTGGAGACGCAGGACAGGAGGGAGATTGGTCGGTAATTAGACGGGTTGTTCTTGTCGCCTTTATTTTTGGACACAGGAATGACAGTGGCTGACTTCCATCGTGACGGGAATGTGCCGGAGGAGAGGGAAAGGTTAAAAGGAATGGAGAGTGGGCGGGCAATTGAGTAGCTCAGTTTCCTGAGGATCTCATTGGTGATCCTATCAGCTCCGGGGGATTTGTTCAGAGGCAGTCTTGCAATATACTTGTGAACAGTCGATGAGGTGATGATCAGGGAGTGCAATGTAGTTGCTGGAGGAGGTATGGAGGAAATAGTGGGAATAGGAGCATCGGGGTCAACCTGTAAGCCAGCACTGACGAAGTGGCGGTTCAATAAGTTACCAATGGATGCCGGAGAGGTGCTTGTTCGACCATTGGGGCCCACCATCTTCGAAGGTATGACCCGGGCGCTGGTAGGATTTCGCAGTTGACGAATGAGCACAGGGAGGGATGGGAGGCGAGGGTTTGTGGGAGATATCGTGGCACGGAGGTTGCGGATGTAGCAGCGATGGCAGGATCTGGAAAGGCTATGGAAAGGCCTCTGCTGGGATGACGACTACACCATAGCTCAGTGGTTAGAGCATCGCTAGCTACAAGCGAGGGTCCCTGGTTCGTGTCCTGGTGCTGACAGTCAATTTTTTCTTCAGACTTTTCCCGTTTGTCTCTTTCCCTCAAATCAGTCAATATTTTATGACTTGGGGCTCCCCGCGTGCTAGTTTGTACGTGAAGTGTGTGGGTTACAGTGAGGGCTGCGTCCCACCCGCCTGTGTGGATTCACAGGAAGTGTGAGTTACGAAGTCTGAAGAAAATGTTGAACGGCCTCTGCTGGGATGACGACTACACCATAGCTCAGTGGTTAGAGCATCGCTGGCTACAAGCGAGGGTCCCTGGTTCGAGTCCTGGTGGTGACAGTCAATTTTTTCTTCAGACTTTTTCCCGTTTGTCTCTTTCCCTCAAACAAGTTAATATTTTATGACTTGGGGCTCCCCGCGTGCTAGTTTGTACGTGAAGTGTGTGGGTTACAGTGAGGGCTGCGTCCCACCCGCCTGTGTGGATTCACAGGAAGTGTGAGTTACGAAGTCTGAAGAAAATGTTGAACGGCCTCTGCTGGGATGACGACTACACCATAGCTCAGTGGTTAGAGCATCGCTGGTTACAAGCGAGGGTCCCTGGTTCGAGTCCTGGTGGTGACAGTCAATTTTTTCTTCAGACTTTTCCCGTTTGTCTCTTTCCCTCAAATCAGTCAATATAATAATAAGAAGAATAAAATGTCCAAATTCGGCCATATTATGAGCCCCAAAGTCAGAATTCGGCTCAAAGCCGTACTTAAAAAAAACACCCCTCGCGACATACATGCACGTTTATACGCACGCTGTAGAGGCACTAGAACAGGAATTTCAGTGAGTCCCTTGCTGTGCTAGTGGTGGCGGAGGCACGCCTTCAGTGAGCCTGCAGTGATCCTACTGAGTGACAGAGTCTGTATAATCGTGACTGTATTTGATGGTTCGTTTTATGTATTATTGTGTTGATCCTTCACAAAATGTGTTATTTTGCCCGTACAAGAGGCTCAAGGAGTTCATTCCCAAAAAATGATGTAAATTCGGCGCAGTTATCGGCGATTTCTTCACAGCCATTGATTTCGGGGTCTTTTCCCGCTGATCGTTTTCGGAAATGCTAAAGTCGCAGTCATCTTTCGCAGATAATGGCTACATAAATTGTATTTGCATGCTGTTGAGGCACTAGAACATCGACTTTCGGGGAATTCAGTGCGAAAATTGCGTATTCGGCGAGAAGATCTGTGATTTCTATAAAACCACTGTTTTAGGTCAATTTTCGGCCAGCCGGTTGATGCCTAACACACACCACTCCAATCATGGCAGTCCTGGCATCAACATCAGAAGGAGCCAAATGACAGGATGCGGCGCTTGACGAAATTTCCTCTATCTCCTCAATCGGTCCTGAAACAGCATCAGCTCCGACACTGCGTCGCTCATTGACAGAAGTTTACAAGGTGAGAGCTGCTCGTCATACTCGTTTGCCGGCGAGGCCAAGATCTGGTGCTGAAGGGGACCTGGATCTGGTGGGACAATGGCTGCGTTGCATCGTCTACAGTCACATTTGATCGACTGGCTTGATGGACAAAAGCTATTTGATATCCACAATTGTACATGTATGCACATGGTCGTAACCAAAATAAAATAAAATAAATAAAAAATAAACCCGATCGACCGACCCTGGTACGAATGAATGAAGTGACCCGAAACAACGGAATAATTCCACGAGACACAATTATTCGGCGGGAAGTACGGCTATAAGCGTCTTGCATCGGACTTGTGCAATCCAATGTTTGGTCACTGAATTTACATATGTACAAGGCGATATTTTGATGGAAATCGATAATCGCATTACAAGCGACAAAAAAAGAAGAAATAATTACTCACAATACCGTCAATTTAGGCAAATCTGCAAGCAGGTCGGATGGCAATGATGTTAGCCAATAGTTGTATGTCAAAGATCTAATATAGTAGGATAGAAAAATCGCAAAGAACACACAAGTATGGACCACAAGGTCAAGATGATACACAGGCACACATGTATCATACTGGCCTGCCATCAGTAGATCCAAATATTTTGTTAAACCCTCTAGCATTATAGTTATACACGGTGATATGACCCCAGAACTCTTTCTCTCTCTCGACTCGAATCTTTGGACAGATTCTCTCGACTTATGCCTCTTCACCTCTGTCTCTCTTTCTCTCACTCACGCATCTGTCTGTCTGTCTCTCTCTCTCCCCGTCATTCCTCCACCCACCCACCCCCATGGTGCTAGCTGTATACGCCGATCCTGA